CGGAAGAGCAATGGAATCGCGGGGCCACGTGCAGAGAATTGGTGAAATTCTCGAGTCATGGAACACCAAGAAGCTACTTGAAAGAGAGTTAATATGCGGACTATGAAAATTAGCGATAACTCGAAGTTACTCGAACGAACAGCCCTACGATCAGCCAGTACGGAATTTTTTCTTTTTCTTTTTCTTTTCGTTTCTTTTTTTTAAAGTAAATTGAAATAGTGAATTAATCATTCGAGAGGGCGTGAAAAGTTGCCCGGCGTATATATATAGTAATTGATTCGAATCGGAAGAATCGTATATACGCTAACGATATTTATATACGATATCGTAATCGGTTTTACCTACCCCTTGTTCGTCTTAAATTACGGATAGGATCGTGAATGACGTACCTTGCTCCTTCGAGTCTGATGATGTTCCCTACTGTCCTCCATAATCCTAGCTGCGTATTTCGAACCGCCAGCATAGAGCCGTTCGTGGTCGCCAGCAGGAGAGGACGACTTTCTCCGGCAATCTAAAAAATTGTACACATTTCGTTTCTATTTTGCACGAGCAAGCAGACACGTTTACGTTTCAACGGTACTCGGAATACTTCCGAAATCCGTGGCTCAACGACTGCCTATCTGCAAGAACAGAACGCTGCACGGTTTAAAAGGTTGAAGATCGTGGGGACGCGATTGACAGGACGTTGCGGTCAACGTCCACGTCTGGTTGCACGGGATTACCGAAACGGACACCTGTGTATTTACCTGCATTCTGACTTTGGCGGTGTCCAAAGGAAACGTGGCTAAATCAGCGATGCAGGCCGCTGTGCCTGCGGAAAGTAACTTCACCCATAAAGGGGATTCGTCCGACGCCTGTTGCTTCATCTTCGCTCTCGTTGCTCTCGCTCTCTTCTCGACAACTTTTTCGTCGCGTTTTAGCTATATGTCTGATCAGTGCGTTCTAGGTTGATGTATGCGTCGGATGTATGGGGGTTGGAATAGTGCAAACAGTCGAATTCTCTCGACTCCTTTATATCCCCGCGTGACTGTTCGATCCTTCGAGCTTACTCGGCTTATCTGAGCGAGATCCTTTGTTAGAAAAGCGATATGTACACTATATACAAAGTCCTACCAGAGGACAGGAACCTTTAGATGATCATTTAGCAGACGGCTGGTTTAAAGGTAGAGCCTTTTAGGTTCCCTGAAATGATCAGGATACGCATGCAGTCCCCCTGACCGCGAGCACTCGTGTTTGATGTCTTGATTGTGAAGTACTTTATACATACTATTCTTCTGTAACAGACACCAAGAAGAACACCAGTCAGATACAACTGTCACACCGAATCGAGCCTTGGGAAACGCGCGTGCACGCGTCACGTCGATCTAAATAGCCGCGTCGATCGGTCGAGGCCCAACTCTGATTGACACGATTAGCGATAGCCGAAGTTCGACGACCCACCGATCGAGCATCGATCACTAGATACACGTGAATAAGAAACAGGTATAATTCGCTGTTATCAGGGTGCCAACGCGCGAGGCTATCGCGATACACGGATCGGTCGCGTGTGCAGAGACTCGGCAACCGGAACGACCGATCGTTCCGTTCAGCCTGCTAGCGAGTTATCGCGACACCAGTGTCATCGTTCCACTCGTTCCCACGCTTTGCTTTTACGTAATGACACGCGAGAAGCTCCGACGATGACAGCTTCTTCGCACGCGTAGGTCGCTGAACGTCTACTCACGAGTCGAATCGCGAAAATAGATCGCGCAAAGGAGAATTGGAGAACGGCCAGACAGAGAACGCTCGAACACGAAGCTTCGTCTTGTCCAATCAGCGTTGTTATCTGCTGACAGCAACTTTCGAGCTGACTCGTTTATTCCGAATAAAATGTAAAATATCCGAAACGGGGCATTCGGTCTTTGAAAAGTCTCTGAAGAGGCTTTAACCACTCGCGCTAGAAAGACGTGCCACGCACGTCGAGATGCTTTTGTTCCAAAATCGCTAGCGACGTGTACACCACGTCGATAGGCATTTATCGCAGAAATAAAAACGACGTGGGCTGCACGTCGGCTGACAACTAGATCGTTCATTTCTGGAGCTACAGTTCCAGAGTGCACGGTGCCGCATACTGTCATCTATATCTTGGAAGTATTTCAGAATCGATACAGTACCTCGCGACGTCAATGTGACACCTTACAGCGTGTTATACTGTAGCTCACGGCACCGCAACCGTAAGTTTATTGGTAGCGCAGGTGGTTAAAGGGTCTTTAAGAAAATAAATCTAATAAATATTAATTAATCTGATTAATCCAAAGATATTGTAGGATACCATTTTCAAAGAAATTGCGAATCTGCTATCGTGTTGGAACCCGGATTTCAATATACAATATAGGTTCTAGCAACGAGGCTACGAAGTCGACGGAGAGGAAAAAAACTAAACTGAAACTGGGACTGGACTGAAACTGACCTTTCGCAAATTTTGTGGGTGCCTATATAATGTTAGTTTTTGGTGGGGTGAAGATGACCATTGGTCCTTAGTGAAAGTAGGAATAAGTCAATTGTTTTTGGACTCTGAAATTGGTCTGCGTTTATCAGCCAGGCCCTTCTAGTACTAAGGGCCAACGAATCGTTAGTCATCCAACAATTGCCAACAAAAAGAAATTATAAACCGGTTGATATTTTCTAGCAGCAAATGGAAAAGTTATTTTAGATAACAAAATTAACGCTAGATTTACTGGACCCGTTAATTTGACGGAAGGGTTGCTCCAATTATACGATGGTAACAAATTTAGTTAACTTATATTAAGACTGTTAATATAATACATAATTGTTTTTAAATTAAACTAATCGCAAAAAAGAAGGCACGTGGTTTGCTTTACCTGTCAATTTGACAAGTGTCCTTAGAAATAGGTATTCAGATAGCCTCTGTGAATCTAGTGTTAAGTTGCGCGGTCTCTACGGGCAGGTGAAGTGTGAGTTAAGAAAAGCATCAAAGCATGGTCCTTGACGACCAAAACAGAGTCCTTAGAAATTAATTCTGAAGAGTATGAGCATAAGTCGCTTGGTTTTGGAAATGAAGTTAAATTAGAGTGCATCTTTGTGTGTTTTCGTTTCGTCTTGGTGTTCTTTTCCTAAGTTAAACTAGTTTATGAGTTTTGAGTTCGTGTTATTCTGTTCTTGTCGTTTTGTCAATTTTTGGTGTCTCAAAACCAGTTTCCGCCATCCTACGATATTAATTAATTTAATAGATATTAATTACTTAATAAATTAGAATAAGTGTATAACGAATAATAGCGAATCTCGTGGTCTTTTCGTATTTTTTGAAATTCCCGCCACGAAGCTCCGTCTCCCTTACGTCAAACGTAAACCTGAATCGTTTGAGTGTTTTAAAAGTTTTCGAATCTTTTTACCAATTTTATAACGATTATGATGTTCGATAACGTATCACGATCGCAATTACAAAGAAAATGGTGTTTTGAAAATTCGAATATAAACAGCTTTGCGTGAACTCGTATATAGCGGAACCGTGTTAATTAATAAATGAGCCTCAATTGAAACTTTACACAGGCTTCCTATTTTCCAACCTGTATAATTCGTTCCAAGAATATATATACCCAAGCATACAATTAACATTTCTGGTTATTAGCTGTGTATATAGTAAGGTATAACGGGAAGTCGACCACCATTTGCGTATCTTCTTAATTAGCGACTATTAACAGAATTAAATGCACAATTAGCGGAAAATTCGTATTTAACAAATTCACTAAAGTCTTTCAAAGAACGAGTCGCAGTACACGGTCTAGCTTGGCGCAAAGATCAAATCGCGCTTCTTCGAAGCCAAGTCTATAAAGAGCTAGAATAGGACTAGAACTGAGGGAAACGAGTTATAACACGAGACCAGATGTATACCTCGTTATTTACCCTGTAATGGAGTATCTCTGATACGAGTGAATAAATCTACATCGATTTCTCTCATGAAGATAGAAGTTCAATGTTCTATCAGAGATACGCGACTCTGGGATAGAACCTGCATAGAACCTAGGCACCTAGAGGGTCACGTATATGTGACGCGTTAAATATTAAACAGCGAACTCGTTACGTATTGAAATAAAATTCCTTTCAATTCCAACCACGGAATTTTCGCACAAACGATTTGCATTTTGTCGCAGCGAGATCTCTGTTTTGCGAGGTTTGGAGCAAGAGACTCTACGGCGAATGTATAAGTCCGACTTAACCCTTTGCACTCGACGATTTTTTGACTAGAGAAGAATTTTTTGACTAAAAAATTGACGATACTTTTTTGAACAGTAAGTAAAGAATTGTATAATAATAGAATTTTAGAATTAGTTGATTTCGATACCTCGCGTACTATTACATTACATAATTTGGTATATTAATTAATATCGATCTTCCAATTTTTATGAAATGATGACTGATGGTCACCTCTCGAGTGCAAAGGGTTAATAAGTGGAATAATGGAATAACAATGGCGAACTCAGTACGTATTAAGATAAAATTCCCTTTAATCTCATCCACGGAATTTTCTCAAGAACAATTCAAGTTTCATCACAGCGAGATCTCTGTTTTGCGAGGTTCGGAGCAAGTGACTCCATGCTATATACATAAATCCGACTGAATAAATGGAATAATGGAGTAACAATAGTGGACTCAATACGTATTAAAATAAAATTCCTTTTAATCTCATTTATGGAATTTTGGCAAGAACGATTCGCGTTTCGTCACAGGCAGATCTCTGTCTTGCAAGGTTTGGAGTAAGAAACTCCACAGCAAGTGTATAAGTACAACTAAATAAATAGAATAATGGAATAACAATGGCGAACTCAGTACGTATTAAGATAAAATTTCTTTTAATCCCATCCGCGGAATTTTCTCAAGAACGATTCGCGTTTCGTCACAGGGAGACCTCTGTCTTGCGAGGCTCGGAGCAAGCGTGTCCACAGCAAATACGTAAATCCGACTGAATAAATAAAATAACGGAATAATAATGGAGGACTCAGTACGTATTAAGATAAAATTTCTTTTAATCCCATCCACGAAATTTTTGCACAAACGATTCGCATTTTGTTACAGGGAGACTTGTGACTTACGAGGTTCGGAGCAACCTCCTCCACTTCGAATACGTAAATCCGACTGAATAAATGAAATAATGGAATAACAATGGCGGACTCAGTACGGATTAAGATAAAATTTCTTTTAATCCCATCCACGAAATTTTTGCATAAACGATTCGCATTTTGTTACAGGGAGACTTGTGACTTGCGAGGTTCGGAGCAACCTCCTCCACTTCGAATATGAAAATCCGACTGAATAAATGGAATAATGGAATAACAATGGCGGACTCAGTACGTATTAAGATAAAATTTCTTTCAATCCCATCCACGAAATTTTTGCACGAACGATTCGCGTTTCGTCGCAGGAAGACCTCTGTCTTGCGAGGTTCAGAGCAAGCGTCCCTACGGTGAATACGTAAGTCCGACCGAGTAAATGGAATAACGAAATAACAATGGCATTGTCCCATAGTTGTCTTCGTTTTTCACCATTCCCAGAATCGCGGTTGACGTTGTTCGATCGCGGTGTTCAGTGTCGAAACCAGTTATATCTGTGACGCGTTATTGCGGTCGTGAGGTTATTTTTGCCAAAGAGAAACGTCGACAGGTAGTGTTTCGGCACGATCGGACTAATGGCGGTTTTTGTTCGGCCGATTTCTGCAGCTGAGCCAGGTAGAGACTTCCGATCGGTTCGAGGAGAAAAACGAAGAAAGTACCGTTGGCTTCGACGACCGGGCCGAAGTCCGTTTGGAGATTCGACTCGTACCTGGTTACCGTTTATCTTTTCGTTTATTCACATCGGTACGAGTTCGAATTCGCGTTGTTTTCGTCCGTTTCGAAGGAACTAGAGGGTCGTGTTTATTCCAGCAACTCGTGTTCGTCGAACGCGATCGACGCGTAATTCCGTTGATGTTTCGATTCGAGGATACGATTCGAGGTCGAAATTAAATCTAGGCGAGGGAGAATATTAAAATTCGGTGAATCAGTCACTGAAATTTCGACGATTTTTATAGACTTTCAATTTAAAAATAAGATCCGAGTTTGAAATTAAATCTAGGCGAGGAAAAATACCGGAAATCGGTGGAATTGTGGGTGAAATTAAGACGATTTTCATAGACATCCGATTCTTAAACGCGATCCAAATTCGAAGTAAAATCTAGGTAACAAAGAATACCGGAATTCGGTGAAATTGTGAGTGAAATTAAGACGATTTTTATAGACTTTCAATTCGAAAATAAGAACCGAGTTCGAAGTTAAATCTAGCCGAGAAAGAACACCGAAATCGGTAGATCAATCGCTGAAATTTCGACAATTTTTATAAACGTTCGATTTGAAACTGAGATTCGGGTTCAAAGTGAAATCTAGGCAAGGGATAATACTGAAATTCAATAAAATCGAGAGTGAAATTAAGACGATTTTCATGGACGTTCGATTCGAATATGCGATCTAAGTTCGAAGTGAAATCGAAACGAGGGAGAATACCTGAATCCGGTAAGTTTAACGTGAAATTTCCACGATTTTTATCCTCAAACGACGGAAATATATTGAGAACCGCTTGCCATAACCTTCGTTTTCTAATCGCTCGTATAAACTCCGATACTATCCGCAACTAAACGATTTCTCCATCGCGAATGCGTGATATCGACGCGCTGGTGCACGAAGACTATGGCTGACGCTTGCAAACAATGCGATCGATAGTAAACTTCGGCCATGCGCCTGCACCCATTGCTGCACCCATATCCTTCTTACACCCAACCACCCTACACATACACGCATTGAAATAAATATCAAGGACATGCTATCTAGCACCTACTCCTAATTAAAATTTATAATTCCCTCTCGACTCGGGACACGATCACGGTTTTCATCAATTATTCAATTATTTCACCAATTACGCATATCAGAAATCTCGTGGAGACTATTAGCGAAAGGATCAAAGACCGTGAGACGGGAATATAAGCGAGGTATATCTCGAATAGCTATCTTTCTTTCTAACCATCACTGATGGACCTTGAAGAGGCGGATCCTGACATATCCTTGCGCGCACAGCTGCTGGAAAGGTCCGGGTGTATTGATTATCCTCGACGCGAATGCGATGGCGGTATGGCGGTCGTCGGTGTATACACAATGGCCTGGAACTGGTCGCCCTATTGTTCCCAGATCCTACCATCAACTCGAGGTACAAATGCCACGAGACAGACCGTGTAATCTCGGCACGAATCTCCTTTCTAGAGAGACGCCATAGACAGATGCAAGCGCCACTGCTTCTCGAAACCAGACTCTCGGAATTTCTCGTTCAAAATTTATCGTTCACGACCGTTCCCGAGCGTTATTTTCGATACGAACGACAGTCCGGCCAAGTTTTCTCGTGAAATTAGCTAATTCCTGCCAGGTGGGAGTTTGGCAAATCGATGTCGCCAGCTTCGACTATAACGCGCATATGCGCTGCAGCAGATGACTGCAGGCCAACCATTTGGCTATATTCGCTTGGACACGTTGAAATTTTTATTCGTTTAGTCGGTTCTAACGATCGAGCACGATTTCCAATGCCGCGGTATCAAAATCGTTGCATTATGTAAGTCGCCATTCGATGGCTGCACCCTGCTTTACAGCTATTGGTTTAGCGAAAGTCAGCGATACTTGTCGTCAAAGCGGCCATCGATTTATTACCGTGAAATATTTAGGAATAACGAAAGGTGAGAACACGATTGAAATGTTTCCACCTATCAATGGCGACGCCTATGTACGTCGAGATCGATGAAACAGAGAATAGAGAGAAACTTCGGGATTAGAAGTTTCGAGATATGTTCCGACGTTTTGTTCTTAGGGGATAAGAATCTTAAACGAATTTGGAGAAAATGGAACGTCCACGGACAAGTCCGAGCTATGTATGTCTAATTAATCGATTAAACGATTAAAAATATCGGATGTTTTTTTAATTTATTAGATAATACGATTAATAGTTTAGTAAATGGTAAATAGATAACGCGAAAAGGATGAAGAACAATGATATTTGGAAGAAGATGTACTTACCAAGTGTACAGTGAGTGGATAACAACACAACTGGAACAGGTTACCGTGAAAGCATCGTTTATACCGGCTCCTCGACCAATAGGAACCGACCACAGTTGAATTCTGCCTATCAGCTGCCGCCGGTGACGTCAACCTTAGCCAAAGAAAGCTCAGCTTGCGGCCGGATCGATAAGTTCCAGGAACGTGCTGGTATAATGCCCTTTTAGCTGCATACAGATATATATATATATGCATCGGTCGAGGGCAGGCGCATAACGCTCAACACCCCTTCAATGATGGAGGGTTACATATCGCCGAATATACACGTTTGAGACATTGGAAATTGCCATTGCTCATCGTGCAAATTCATTTTCCCGCATACGCGGTGGCTTTCTGCATCGGCGAGCTACATATGGCGCAGCTAACTGTATTCGATCCAATGGACGAACGGTTCGAAGGGAAGAAAGAATGTCCTTCGAAAACGTGTTCTCATTCGTGTGTGATCGATGCTTTTTGTCGCATGTGTCGTTGCTGCAGACGAGTCCCACGATTCGATACCTTCCAACCACGTTCGGTTTTCTTCCTTTTTTCTTGTTTACTTATCGTTAACGTTGTAAAATGTATTTTTCTTTTTCTTTTTCTTTGCACATATAGCAGACTTAAGATAAGAATTAGACTAACGTTTGATAGCTTTCGATAAACATTCATGGCCTTTTCAAACACTCGTGTGTTCGTCGCGAATAGTAATCCTTGAATCCTATTACACTTACACGTCTTATCCAAGAGATAACGATGATATAACGTTTAGTTTAATCGACTTCACGTGTGTCTTTAATGTGACTGATGAGATCCGTTGGTTATTAAATTGGGAACGAAATTCACATGATTCTCGTTCGATCGACAGATAAATGTACTGTTTGAAACCCCGTATGACGGAAGCGATGAAGAGGACAAATTATAGAGGATTAGAGGTTATTAAATGTAAAGCTACTATATGAAGTAATACGTGTAGAATAAACGGAATACGAGAAAAAAAATTTTGGCCCATGAGGGGATCGAACCCGCGACCTTCGCGTTATTAGCACGATGCTCTAACCAACTGAGCTAATGGGCCTTACTGCCACATCCTGGATTCATATGAGAACTCGATGTTCAACAACCGTAGGAAAGGAGAGGAGAGAGTGGGAGAGAGGAGAGGAGAGAGTGGAGAGTGGGGAGGAGAGGAGAGAGTGGAGAGAGGAGAGAGTGGAGAGTGGAGAGGAGAGGAGAGGAGAGAACGAAATGGGTTGATTTGTCTCCCGGAATGGACCCCTGGAAATCCATGTTTTCAATGTAATATTTTTTAAATATACGATTGTTATATTAATTAATAATTGTTCGTTCATCTTTCGATATATCCTATTTGAATAGCTCGTAGAAATAAATTTGTATACTTGTATTAAGATAATCCATATCTCTGTTATAGTCCATTACTTAGCGAATAAATGCATCGTTGTTCGATCAAACACGATAGATGGCAAGTCACTGCATCGAGAGCAATTGATCAATAGCGAGTATATGTCATTATAATTGCATAGGAAACAAACTATCTGAACTTTATTTGTAGTTTGGACTCTGCACTGAAAGAGAGTCAAATAGAGTTAATATTGTAATTTGCATCGATAGATACGCTATCAAGGACAATTTGCCATATTAACAATAAACAAACAAATTACTCTGTTCCAATTACGTATATTATCATTATTACCTAATATTAATACCAATATATAAACGTGAGAATATATTTATAAAATACAAAAATAAATACTTTATTACTCAAATTTTTCAATTACTATTATTTCAAAGAACTATGAACTTTTGATTTTATATTTTATAATTATATGTCAAACTAATCATAAATTCAACTTTATATTTTTCAAGACTGTGTATCACGTGAACTGAAATGCCGACCGCGAGAAAGGGTAGAGCGCTTCTCCTGTCCTCTATAGGTATTTATGGTAAACTTGTATTCATCGAAGGTAATAAAGTCGATAGCTACAAACGTTAATGGTCCATTACCTTACGAGGCGAGTAGTGCAGATCACTATCATTTTCATAAACTGTTCAACGTTACCGATTCAACATGGAATAACGTTAGAACATTAAACTCTTTGACTACAATATAGTGAAACAACGAGAGTGCAAATCCTTCGGGTCACCGATTTAATTGAAACTTTGCAGGTTTGTAGATATCGTCATGCAGTTTAAGAGAATATATCATTATAGTCGCAACTACTCCATAGTTATGGAGATATTTACTATTAAAGTTTTATTCCTTAATTACATATTTATTGCTATCTCACTTTACATTACGTTGTAGCGTAACAGCCACGCTCTAGAATTGCTACACCGGAGGACGGGGAGTTCGATTCTCGTTCCATATTTGTAATTTTTTCAACTTATTTTTTATTTTGTACTCATTTTTCGCCTATGAAAACATTAAAAATACACAATTATAAATAAAGATATTAAACAAAAAGTTTACTGGTAAGGGCAAATCAGCTCATGATTCTTTAAGTGATACAAAATTAAGCTTGCAACCACCTTTTGAACCACCTGA